GATCTCCATCGATTGTTGATCAAAATATAATCGATTTGGTTTTTGGTACGGTTATCTGGTGACGTCCAGGTGTATTGTTTTCTTATATGTTGTTTGAAGACTGTATTGGCAATTGTAAAGTTATTATCAATGCAGAACTGGATAAGCCTGTCACCTCTTTCGTTTCGAGTTCCTATACCGTATCTTCCAACTGCGTTGCGAATGTGGTTATCGTTATCGGTGCGTCCCACTTTGGCGTTCCAGTCCCCCATGACTACTGTGATTTCTCGGTTAGAGGTTTTCTCAATGGTTGCTTGCAGAGAGCTATAAAAGTTGTCTATATCTTCTGCATCCGCGTCGGCCGTCGGTGCGTAGACCTGGACAAAGTTCAGTACGCAAGGTGCTGCCTTGATGCGAACAGATATTATGCGATCGCTGACAGTGTCATAGCCAAGGACGGAACCAACCAGCCCGCTGGGTATCACAAAAGCCACACCGTTGCGGCTTGTGTCGTCAGATCCGGAGAAGTAGACCGCATGACTGTTGCTTAGGAAGTGACCCCTCCCTCGCCAGTGAGTCTCAGAGATTCCTGCCATCCTCACATTACACCTCATGAGTTCCCTCTTCACTATATCCAGCTTTCCTACTTGTCGAAGTCCTCGAACATTCCAGGTTGCCAGTCGGCATTCAGCACGACCACTGAATTTTTTGTCATCTCTGGTCGCATATTTCGCATGTGGTGCCCAGTGGTCCACACCCCCATGCCCGGTAGTCAATTTTCCACTGTCTACCCCGGACGCAAGACAGCGCCGATCGTCAGTCGGGTCGCCAGACAAACTAGATTCATTTGTCGACATTTGCATAGTGCTCATGGGAGTGATAGTGCAGTAGATTCCCCTGCCTTTCTGCACCGCAGTATTCCGACCGTTTAAGACTGCTTCAGTCACGCTTGGGATAGCTTGCTCCTAGGCCATTCCGAAGTTATTCTTCTTCTGCCCTAGTGCAATACTGATGGTTACTGCTGCCCTCCATCAGGTTCACCATATCTGGCTACCCTTACTTAGTTTGGCCTGCAGGTCAATGCAGTTTTCCGGGGTGTAGCACTGGGAGCCATAAGTAAGAGTTGGGTTCCATACGAGGACCAGTTACCTCGAGCCATCCCTCGCGGATACGCTGGATGTGACCGCTCTCAGTCAAAGGTGCTACCTCTATATCGAATCCCCTTACACCCCAGAGATTCATTACGTTAAAAGGAAGGAAATAAAAGGCTGAAATTGGCCGCTCATGAATAATTAATATCGGCGACTGCATACGCGTGTGACGTTGTTTGAAAAGTTTGAGACAAAGCCGTCCTTATACTGTATTAAAAGAACGTTGAAAGAGTCGATAGAGGAAGCTCGCAAACAAGCTTCTTCGCCTATACGTACGCCGCCCGTGAATACCTTTATGTGCCATCCGGCGTTTTATATCGATCCAGCGATATAACGCCCCTGCCTAGAATCGAAAGGATCGCTTTCTCGAGCCATCCGGAGCCCCTTTTTTCACAGGCGTGACCGCGTATCGTATCGGATGACCGAGTTGGCGCGCCACCAAAACGCGAATGGCTCGGATGATTGTGCGAGATACTGAAGGAGAGAAAACGCTCGACCTTCGAGTTCGAATGTTCATATAAATTGGCCAAGTCGATGTTTGATCAATTCGCAAACGATCGAAGAGTTCGATCTTCAAATTCGAGAGAAACTAGAGTAATCAGCTTATTCGCCGCAAAAGATAGAAGATTGGAATAAATAGTATTTGTTAGTTCTCTCTCTCTTCTTTCCCTCATCGCTCATAACTTCGCCATTTCAACTAAATTCGCGTATATTCCATTTATTCGCACGAGAGAGAGAGAGATCTGAACAATTTTGAGGCGTGAGCTCTCTCGACCACACCGAAATAGGTATCCCAATCCATTTACCTTCCTCGTTGCTCTCGTCCTCCAGCGTCCATATCTCTTCCTCGTCGAAGTGAGCGTCTCCGCCACGATCCTTGCCCGGGAAGAACGCGTGCGCCAGGATTTGACCTTTGCCATCGAACGGGTATCCATCTCCGTGATAACCCCTGAACAATGCGCAGCGAGAATATTATCTGGCGTTCTGCCGAACGGGATCGTCAGTCGCCATCGGAATTAATGTCTATCGCGAGTTTGCGATTTTACACGGTTATGCAGCGTTATTATTACATCACACATGCGGTGCAAATAATTTCGAACGTCGATGTGAATTTCTAAAAGTTACGGCTGGAGCCCGAGCGCTTAGTCTGAATTTCTATCACCGTAAATATCAAAATCTGCTGATTTATATTATTATAATAATGATTTTAATAATTATTATTAATTTACGTTATATTATAATAAGATGCAATAATTTTAATTTATTCTATAATAATAAAATTTTAATCATTATATAAATTTAATTTATTCTAATTCTATTCAATGGCAAAACGGAATATAACCAGCGCATGAAATCGTCCAAAATGCATATACGTATATGTATACATGCAAAGGATAAATAGACTTTATATTGATTAAGTTTGAACTTGAATTAAACTTACCGGTGGAAATAGATCAGAATATCGGCGCGGTCGCTGTTGATCTCCTGGAAGGTGAGCTTGGAATTCCTGGCCCAGAGATCGAGGGCTTTGCTTAGCTCCAGCCGAACCCCGCCCGTGTCCAGGCCGCTAGGCTGCTCGGATCTCAAACTGCAAGAAAAAAAAACGAAAGGAATAAGTATTCCCGCGTGAGAGTTCGATCGATCGATTCGGCGACACGGAGAACAAACCGCGGCGACATAAATGGTAAATATTTACGCGGCGCTCGCCAAGACGATCAGCCGCGCCGGCCCCGGTAAACGCTAAACAAACGTACGTTGATCGATTGTGCCCACATGGCTCAAGTATTTACCTATTACTGATTACCTGGAAACACGCGATCGCCAACGTAAGAGCGATAGAAATGTGTCGCGCGCAAAATATTTTAGGACCGCGTCGACATTAACAATAAGTTTGACCAATGATCGGAATAATGTCGCGATTAGCCAAACATAAAATATATACGATTTGAATTTTACGATTGCGTAGCAATTGTGTGCATTTTAATTTCTACGTTACATAAAAATAAAATAATATTTTAATGAACTTTAATCCTGTATTATATGTAATAATTTATATAATATACTAATATCCGAGCTAATATCGCTTTGAAGGACTTATCGATTTGAAATATATTCTCTCTTTTTGTAAAACGTTCTCATCTTGTTTAAGTACATGATTTTAATTACACTGATTTAACAATTATGTTTGGCTGAAACGAAACCTTCATGTTTCACACTCTTTTTTTAAAGCATCTTACAAAAAATATCGTATTAATTATATAATTAATACGATATATTTTATACGGTATAATTTACCATATTTACGTATATTCATAAATATATTCCGGAAACAATTAATCTCGCTAAAAGCAAAAGTCTCTTATCTCTGCTTATTCGCTATCACAAAATTCTTCCGTTTTGAGTCATCTTTCTCCGCAATTATACTTCGAGCACAAAAACAGCTGTCTCACTTTCGGCTAGCTCGCTGCTATTTACACGAGGTTTCAAGTAAAAGAAGCCTCAAGTTTCTCGCGGCGCAGCGGCCGCGAGTTCGGCGCACGGAAGATACGAAAAGTTTCGCGACTCGTCAAGAGATAGATCACCTTCCCCTTTTTTTTTTAATTGTTGGAAAATACTCCAAATGCACGAAATAACGCGAGTACTCGGTATAAGTTAATAAAAAGCGGTGGCATAAATTAATTAAAAGTACCTCCTCTCTCTCTCTCTCTCTCTCTCTCTCTCTCTCTCTCTCTC